CCCCACCCCTACTCCAGTCTTGAAGTTTTATCATTAACTTCCCTGTGGGGGTTTGGAATAGACCATTAATAGCCAGAAATTTTAAGCTTTGTTCCCTTAAACACCCAGATAACATTATTTACAGAACTTCTTTTTAAATTTACAGCAAACATTGTATTCAAACTTAGCACTAAATTTACTACTTTTTTTCCCTCTGAAACTTCTTAAGTATCTTCACTGCCTCAGTGCCTTCTGGATCTTAGCTTCTTGATGCACACGTCATCATCCTCCTGTTTGGGAAGAAAAATACAGCCTTTAAGTCACTTAAAAGAATGATTTTTTTTAACCAACTCTGCTCTGCAAAAACCCAAATCCTTAAACTAGGGGAGATCCTTTCTGGAAAATCAATTTTGAGGTTGGAAATGAGTTTTTAAATATATCCTGTGAAAGTTACTTTTGTTCTTTAAGCTGCTTTTACTATTTGGTTTTTTTAAACTTAAACATTTTATCTTTTGATAGAAAAGTTTGTAACCTATTTTTAAGTTAATACATAATTTAAAAAAAAGATTTCTACCCCAATACCCGTTTTTAATAATTAAAAAATACTACTCAGAAAAGATGATTTCAGCTGTGGAATGAGGAGGAAATCCTTTGGGTGTTCTAAACAGCCTGGGTGTGTCAAGAGGACAGTCAGTCAACAGCACGAGTGTCACCTAAGGCCATCTGCTGTGTGAGCTCCAAAGGTAGGGAAGGGCAGAGGCTCATCCATCCAGACATTTAGATAAAATCTAAAAAGCCAGGATGACCTGCTCTTTCAGAACCAGCTCCCCAAAGCCTTGGGTGTCTGCACCCTACTCACAGATGAGCGGCCAGGTGTAGGAGCGCTCACTTCACAGTCCCCCAGCTCAACAGCCCATCAGAAAAGGCTCATGTGGCGTGGGGCACTTTAGAGCAGCTCCCACCAACGACTTTATCAAGTGATTTGTAATACTGGCGGGGGTGGGGGTGTGGGGAGGGGGAGCTCAGAAAAACACAAGGGCAAGAATTACAAAACCTAAAGCTGAGTTTCAGTGTAAATGACCTGAAACGCTTGAATATGGACTGAAGGTGTCACTGAAGGTGTCACCTCATTACAGGGCAGCGCAAAATGGTCAGATGACTGAACTCTCAGGAAAAGGTCCATGGAAACTGTGTCCTCTCTCAGAAGGCAGGAAAGTGTGAAACCCGCATACGGATGACAACAGAAAGGTAAGTACACGAGCTAATGAAGGGCTGGGGAGGGTACCTCATTCTGGCTTTGGGACCAGTCACCTGCTCTATACCTGTTAGTGCATGACTCTAAGGGCAGCGGGGACATTCGATGGGACCCTAGATGTGGACTGACGCCGGTGCCATCACCATTATCCCAGCACACAATAAACAAATGTCTCCTGCCTTTGCAGTTGGCACCGTACCAGACAATCACTCATCAGTCAGTTCACACAGGCTGTTGTTGGAGTACTGGCCCCCAGCAGTCTCTAACGCGTGCTAAGAAGCCAACTTAGCCCACTCACGAAAAGTTCAACCTCTTTCTTTTTAAACTAGCAAAATCAAGGATTTCCCAGAACACTGAATTTAATCATGCTTTGGGATTTCCTCAGTGAATCACAGCTGGCTTGCTGCTGAAGCTGACATATTGGTAGCACCTACCGTCCATTAACTTAACAGTATTTGATTTGGGAAAAGTGGAAGAACAGCCCTGGAACTCATAACAGGAAGTACTGGGCGCCTTAAGGGACACACTCAGCTTTCATTCATTTAGCGTTTGAAAGGAGCCCCTTGGACATCCAGACAGGACCACCTTTCCGCCTTACTAAGTTTTGTTGAACTAACAGGAGACTGAAGACATCTGCCTGGAATGTCAGTACGGGGTGTGTAAGAAGCAGTCAGAGGGCCGGCCGAGTGGCTCAGTTGGTTAAGAGCTTACTCAAGAGTGTGAGCTCTGAGCAACAGCGGTTCGATGCTCGGCCCAAGCTGAGCTGCCAAAAGGTGGCAGGATGGCTCAGCTAAAAAAAAAAAAAAAAAAAAGAAGCAGTCAGAGGGCACTAATGAAATACATTTCTGTTCTTCCTGAACGATGTCTTCATAATGTGAGTGAACCACCGGAAATGGGAATTCTCAAGACAGATTTAACTAAATACAGCTACAAAGACGAAAGATCTGCTTTAGGTTCATGCTTTGTGAGTTGGTGTAACTGGGAGTGGGCGGCGTGTTATGATATATAATGGGTTTTGTATGCTTTTGCAACATGGGGCAAAAATTATATCAAGGTGCTCTAGGCTCATTCAAAAGAGAAACAGTCCATTACTTGCCTTTTTAACATTTTCGGCAGATCTCTTGGTGCTCCGAGTGACTTTCTGTTTGGACTCCTTCTCCAAAGTGTCCCCTGTAGGAGGGACTGTCTTCTTTCTGGATCTCAAACACGTGGAGCCCGAACGTTTGGGTCCTTCTTTCTCTTCCTGAGTCTTCTTCACCACGTGGGTTTCCACACTTTTCTCCCGTGCTTTCTCCTCGGTTGCATCTGGCAAGGGCTTCGTACTCTGTCTTCCGGATCTCAAGCATGTTCTCCTTTCGTGGACTTGGCCCCCAGATGCAGAATTCTTGGCTCCATCTTCCAGAGTTTGAAGCTTCACCTCTCGGGAGGTGTTCGGGGCCTTTTTTTCATTCCTCTTTACTTTAATCTTTTCTGCTGATTCAAGAAACTCAGGACTTCGCTCTGCGGCACTGGTTTTATTTGGGTGTCTGTAGCGCAGGGACCTTCCCTACAAAAGTCAACAGACAACCACAAAATGTCAATGATGCTCAAACTTCAACATGGAAAAAAAGTCACAAGAGAACTCAAAGGTGAACTCAGCTGAACATTTTACATGAACTTTCTTAGATGCTAATAATCTAAGAATTTCACTTTGTTCCTATGGAGATAGCATCACCTCTACCAATAAACCGTAATTAAGGAATTTGGTATAAATTTCAGTCATAATATCATATATGCTTTAACAATCATTGCTAAAGCAGAACAGGAAAATCTCAATTTCTAGAAGTTTACAAACATCTCTCTATGCAGTAGTAACCTCTCTATCCAACAATCTCGACAGGTGACAGTTAGGTTCTTCTCAGGACCCCACCCCCACCCTCACGTATAGCATTTAAACTCTGACACACATGCGACTTCTACCCGAACTCCTGGTTGCAGCGTCTGAACAACACAGGCTGAACTGCCCGCGTTTTTTCTGCGCAATGCCTCACACCTTCGAAGATGAACACTACTCATTCAGTTCCCAAGGGAGATCTCAAACTCTGTAGTGATAATTTGGGCTCATTATTTCCCCAAATGAGTCTGTTTTCTGTAAATCCCCAATAGGCTCTTCAGGAGGGTCTGCAATTATTCACTGTTCATGGCGGACCCCTTTGGGAAGGATGTCCACACAAATTCAGGCTCCACACCATCTATGCCAAATATTACACAGAAATGGAGAACACCCATCCAAAACCACAGCTAATGATTATGGGACATCTACCATTACCTTCTCGGGAGAGGTCACGGCTTCTGCTTGTTGTCCCTTATTTTTAGTTCTCACGCTGTTGCTGGGCAGATCTTCCACGGATTCAATCCTTCCTGCCAAAACCCTCTGACTTTTCTTCTTTGTGATCAAGGGTTCTGGCGGTTCACAGCTCTCTCTGGGAGCTGTCCCCTGCCTCTTCTGCAGTGGCGTCTCCAGGGCAGTGTCCTGTGGACACATCGTAGAACGCAGCCTCTTCCCTCCTGGGACAGTCCCATCTTTCCCACGCTTCCTCTTGGGGGACCGGGAAACACTGCTTTTACTTTGTGATTTCACAGGGTCTCTGCTGCCTGTCAGGTCATCCATGGGCTTCACGTGAGGGGCCCTGAGGACTCTTCTGGATGTCCTCACAGGTTCTCTTCTGTCTGGTCTTTGCATTGGAGTCCGCTTAATGCTCTCAGCATCATTGCCCTGATCCTTGTCTGGATCTGCGGTTTGGAGGAGCTCTTTGCAGCCGGCTGGGCCTTCCAGGGCTGGGGCCTTTCCCTTACCTGCTCTTAGCAGACGCTTGCTGCCCGTTGTGTTGTCTGCAGGGCCCAGTTTCGGCTTTGCAGCGCCCTCACACACAATGACGTTTTTATGACCATCTACTGGTTCTCCATGAGCGCGCGTGCTTCTCCCCGTCCGCGCGGACTTTCTGAGCACCAACGGCTGTTCCTCTCCGTCCGCTTTCCCTGCCGGTGCCTTGAGCTGTCTCTTCTTGCTTGATGGCAGGATGCCTGGTCCTGGTTGTGGAGACTGCTGGCGGCGCATCCTAGTGGTTTTGACAACAGTCACTGGTTCGTCTGTGTGATCTGGGGCTTGCAAGAGCTCTGTGAGGCCGGTCACGTCTTCGATGGGTTGGATCTTTTCCTTAGCTGTTCTTGGCTTTCTCATGCTTCTAGCTACATTTTTTGCAGGGTCCGGTTTCTGTACTGCACTGTCCTGAGACACTGTGACGTCTTTATCCTCCTCTGGTTCTCCATGAGCACGAGTGCTTCTCCCCGTCCGCGCGGACTTTCTGAGCACCGATGGCTGTTCCTCTCCGTCCGCTTTCCCTGCAGGTGCCTTGAGCCGTCTCTTCTTGCTTGATGGCAGGATGCCTGGTCCTGGTTGTGGAGACTGGCGGCGCATCCTAGTGGTTTTGACAACAGTCACTGGTTCGTCTGTGTGATCTGGGGCTTGCAAGAGCTCTGTGAGGCCAGTCAGGTCTTCGATGGGTTGGGTCTTTTCCTTAGCTGTTGTTGGCTTTCTTTTGCTTCTAGCTACATTTTTTGCAGGGTCCAGTTTCTGCTCTACAGTTTCCTTAAACATTGTGACATCTTTATCATCCTCCTCTAGTTCTCTGTGAGCGCGCGTGCTTCTCCCTGTCCGTGCGGACTTTCTGAGCACCGACGGCTGTTCCTCCCAGTCCGCTTTCCCTGCCGGTGCCTTGAGCCGTCTCTTCTTGCTTGATGGCAGGATGCCTGGTCCTGGTTGTGGAGACTGGCGGCACATCCTAGTGGTTTTGACAACAGTCACTGGTTCGTCTGTGTGATCCGAGGCTTGCAAGATCTCTGTGAGGCCGGTCAGGTCTTCAATGGGTTGGGTCTTTTCCTTAGCTGTTCTTGGCTTTCTCTTGCTTCTAGCTACATTTTTTGCTGGATCCTGTTTCTGTACTGCATTTTCCTTAAACACGGTGATGTCTTTATCATCATCCACTGGTTGTCTGTGTGAATGCGTGGTTTTCCGTGATGCTCGTGTGGGCTTCCTGAGTGCTAGCGGCCCCATTGCTACGTCTGCTTTCTCTGGAAGTGCCTCGGGACAGCTCCTTCTACCTGTTGGCATGCCTGCTTCTGCTTGTGGAGATTTGCAGGGTATTTTGGTTTTGTCATCTGTCACTGGTTCCACTGTGTGGTTTGGTGTTTGGAAAAGCTCTTTGAGGCCGGCCAGGTCTTCTACGGGTTGGACCTTTTTCTTGGGTGTTCTTGGCCTCTTCCTGCTTTCAGTTACATTTTCTGCAGAGTCCAGATTCTCTTCTGGAGTTTCCATAAATGCTTTGATGTCTTTAACATCACCTACTGGTTCTCCATGTGAGTCTGTGGTTTCCCCTGGGGTCTGTGTAGGATTCCTCAATGCCGAGAGATCTTCCTCTCCGTCCACTTTCCCCTGAGGTGTCTGGAGACGGTGTTTTGTACTGGTTGGCGTGTTGACTGGCTCTGGTTTTGGAGATTTGCGGGGTATTTTGGTGGCTTTGTCATCGGTCACTGGTTCCACTGTGCGATTTGGTGTTTGGAAGAGCTCTTTGAGGCCGGCCAGGTCTTCAGTGAGTTGAACCTTTCTCTTGGGTGTTCTTGGTCTCCTCCTGCTTCCGGTTACATTTTCTGTAGGGTCCACTTTCTGCTCGGGAGTTTCCTTAAATGCTCTGATGTCATTATCACCACCTGGTGAGTTCACTGGTTCTGGTTCTGGAGATTTGTGGGGTATTTTGGTGGTTTTGTCATCAGTCACTGGTTCCACTGTGCGATTTGGTGTTTGGAAGAGCTCTTTGAATCCCACCAGGTCTTGTAGGGGTTGGACCTTCCTCTTTGGTGTTCTTGATCTTCTCCTGCTTCCAGTTACATTTTCTGTAGGGTCCACTTTCTGCTCTGGAGTTTCTTTAAATGCTCTGATGTTTTTATCATCACCTGGCTTGTTGCCTGGTTCTGGTTTTGGAGATTTGTGGGGTATTTTGGTGGTTTTGTCATCAGTCACTGGTTCCACTGTGTGGTTTGGTGTTTGGAAGAGCTCTTTGAGACCGGCCAGGTCTTGTAGGGATTGGACCTTTCTCTTGGGTGTTCTTGATCCCCTCCTGCTTCCAGTTACATTTTCTGTAGGGTCCAGTTTCTGTTGTGGAGTTTCCTTAAATAATTCGATGATTCTATCATCACCTACAGCTTCCCTGGGTGAGCCCATGGTTCCCCCTGGTGTCCGTGTGGACTTCCCGAGTGCTGACAGCTCTACCTCCCCAGCCACTTT